TTCCATACATTTTTCATACCAAATTATTTTTTTGCCATAATTTTGTTTCTTTTAAACTTTTAATCTGAAGTTTGGCATGTAGATTAAGTGGTTGTTCCTGAATATATAACCGACGGCATTTTGGATTCTAAGGGTTGGAAACCTAATACAAACTTTATTCCTTTTGTAATCTTATTAATCTTATATGTAGAGATAGTTTAAAATCCTCAGGGGGGGGGGGGGGGGGGGGGGGGGTGAAAGCAAAAATTGCTAGGAACTAGTGTATCGGGTAGAAACTCAAGTTATCCATAAGTTTGAATGTATGAAGCTGGTGAATCAGCTGAGCTTCGCTCAGCATAAATTTGAAGGTATGAAACTAGCGCGTCAACTGAGCTTCGCTCAGCATATGTTTGAAGATTTAAAGCTTAACGAACATTCTTTGAAAGATTTTTAAAATTTTTTTCATCCAAAGTTTAATTTTATAAAAATCACAGTGAACTTTTGTTTTGAAAAATTCGTAAGAAAGGAAATTTTTTTGATTTTTCCGAAGCAACGGCTGTTCCTACCTTGCCTAAAAACAATACAGCTCTTCTATAGAGTAGCACGGATCAAATGTAAAAAACTAGAAGTCTCTACGATGTCTCGTTATTGAGATTTCTTGATGATTAACTTGCTTGCTTGTTTGCTTACAGAAAGCGTATTTTGCGATTTTTTCCGCAATGCCGCAACCAATTTGAAATCTATTTTTTTGCAAAAGATGTGAAATTCCAGGCACAAATTTTTTCATCTTAGAACATGTTAAGTTATCCTGCTCCATATCCTCACAAAGTTCAAAAAACTGATTTTTCAATCTGAACAAAACCAATAAATTCACACGTGAAAACCCAAAAATGTTTACTGTGATGAAATTTCCAAGTACTCCACAAACGAAATTGAAAAAGTAAAATTTAAAGGAACTGAAGCATCCAAGTAAAAATTTTTAGATGTCAAAAGGTCTTAAATCATGATTCTCATCAGTTTCAATCAAAATTTTGGTCATAACTGCATCGGAAGGAAAATATTGCAAAAATTTCATTTTTCGACAATTTTTTTTCCAATACAAAAGTACAGTGCTGAAGCATACAAACGATTTCAAACTGATATTTATAAACTTTTTTTTTTAAATTAAACCTAGAGATTCTTGGAAGTAAATATTTGTTAAGTGTGAGAATTTAAGTATAATCCAATTGGATGTGACATGTTAATAAAACGTGCTTAGAGTATATTTGAGAGTGCACTCAGAAAGTGTACTCAGATGAGCATAATGTTTCTTACATAAACTTATTACAAAGACATGCTCAGAGTACATTTGAGAGTGCACTCAAAAAGTGTACTCAGATGAGCATAATGTTTCTTACATAAACTTATTACAAAGACATGCTCAGAGTACATTTGAGAGTGCACTCAAAAAGTGTACTCAGATGAGCATAATGTTTCTTACATAAACTTATTACAAAGACGTGATCAGAGTACATTTGAGAGTGCACTCAGAAAGTGTACTCAGATGAGCATAATGTTTCTTACATAAACTTATTACAAAGACATGCTCAGAGTACATTTGAGAGTGCACTCAGAAAGTGTACTCAGATGAGCATAATGTTTCTTACATAAACTTATTACAAAGACGTGATCAGAGTACATTTGAGAGTGCACTCAGAAAGTGTACTCAGATGAGCATAATGTTTCTTACATAAACTTATTACAAAGACATGCTCAGAGTACATTTGAGAGTGCACTCAGAAAGTGTACTCAGATGAGCATAATTTTATTACATAAACTTATTACAAAGACGTGCTAAGAGTACATTTGAGAGTGCACTCAGAAAGTGTACTCAGATGAGCATAATGTTTCTTACATAAACTTATTACAAAGACGTGCTCAGAGTATATTTGAAAGTGTACTCAGAAAGTGTACTCAGATGAGCATAATTTTATTACATAAACTTATTACAAAGACGTGCTCAGAGTATATTTGAAAGTGTACTCAGAGGAGCATAATGTTTCTTACATAAACTCATTACAAAGACGTGCTCAGAGTGCATTTGAGAGTGCACTCAGAAAGTGTACTCACATGAGCATAATGTATTTAAATGTGAATTATCAGAAAGATATGCTCTGAATATGCGCTTGAGTATACTTGAAGATTATACTGACGAGAGTATACTGTCTTTAAAATTACACTCACATTTGTCATACTCACAATAAGTATACTCAAGAGAGCACATAAAGAAAATTTTTTGTATCATGTTGATGTGTAGAGAGCGTACTCAATGAATGTACTCAAGTGAGTATACTACGTTTTTGTACTCATTGTGTACTCATGAGAGTATGTTCATTTGAGCACATAAATTTCTATAACTGAGTATGCTCTCGCATGTGCTCAAATTTGTGAGCATGCTTTTTGCCTATTAGGGATTGAGTTTTAAAATATCATTTTTTACACGGATTAGGAAAATAAAAGCCTTAAATTTTTCGAAAACATAAATTTACTTCAGAAAACAATTCGTTTAATTTCTTATCTTTAGTATGCGTATGATGATACAAAAAGTTTTTTGACTTTTAATTTTTAATTCCAAAGAATTGAAAATTATCCTTGATTAAGGCATGAAAAATCTTAATGGATCTTAATAAGTTATTATCGAGGGGTATAATGAAATACAACAGCTTAAAAGGATATATAAGATACTTTAGAGGAAAAAAATTATCAAATGTGAATTCTTTGTGTGAAGTTTTCAAAATTTCAATGAGTTTTAAATAATTTTCAAGGATCATAAGTCCAGAAAAATGTACCTGGACTTATAAACTGCACGTGAGGTTTTTAAGTTCAGTTGCAATTTGTATCTGGACTTATAAACCTTTAGTAACTTTGATTTTCTGGACTTATAATCTCTGGACTTATAACCCAGCATCCATTTTTTTATTTGTTTGAAATGTGTTTTAAAATTTATCGTTTATTACACTGAGTTAAAGATTGTTTCAAAATTAAAGTGGATGCAAATTTTAAATTCTGATGGAAAATCATTTTATATGGTTTAAAATTAACATCAGTCATTTGAATTTACTGAATAATCATTCTGGAATAAGAAATGTTGAAACAGTTATCACTAAGTGATGACGAGATGACAGAGTTATGACAAATGTCTTTTAAAGAAAAATTATCTTATTATCCTCATAATAGGATAAAACTGGATAAAACTAATTTTTTTAAAACGTAGACGTTTTAAACTAGTATAGAAGCCGCTGTTACAGCTGTGAACGGACGAACTAAGCGCATTTTCCTACTAAAAGGAATTAAGGCCCATATTATCATATATCAGCTTTCGAATGCAAAAAACTAGAAGTCTCTAAGTACTTTCAGTTCCGAGTTTTTGAAGCAGTCCGTCAGCCAGCCAATGTGGACCTTTGTTTCCTAAGGAAAATGCGCTATATTCCTTCTTCATATTTTCAATTTATTAAGAGAATCGTATCATAAAAGATATTGTGCAGTATTTTCATAATTTGAGATGATTCTTTTTAAATATTCTAAACACGTTTTGACTTTTGAATATTTTGAATTTTTGTTTGTGACAACTGAAACTTTGTTCAGCTGTTCGGGTCCTGAGATCCAGAGATCGAAGCCGATTTTTTCGGCTTAGCTCAATTTTTGATTTTTTTGATAGAAAAAAGCCATTCGACACCCATTTCAAGTTATTAAATTGAACTTTACATGCTTAAAAAGAAATTTAAGCCGATCGGCTAATTTGAAATTCTGAGATCACTATAGCTATATGCTGACAAATTATTACACAGAATCATAGTAAAGCATGTAAAGTTCAATTTAATAACTTGAAATGGGTGTCAAATGGCTTTTTTCTATCAAAAAAATCAAAAATTGAGTTAAGCCGAAAATATCGGCTTCGATCTCTGCTGAAATCTCCTTAATCATACATCGGAGAGAGCTCAGGTTTGGTTTATTAGGTTCTTTTTTATCGATTTATAAACCCATCGAATGGATAAAAGTCTTAAATAGTGTATTTATACTATAGTTGTTGATTTTTTATTTCATATGAAAAACACGTGATTAGTACGTTCAGAAGTTTGTTCAGGGTGCGTTAGAAATTTATATTAACTTCAACCGTTATAAATTTGAATCTCAAAAAAAAAACGCTAAAAGAAAAAAATTTTGAATTGAAAAAAAACGTTAAATGGCAAATCCTGAAAAAATTCAAATTTTTAAAACCGTTAAAAAATTTAAATTTGAAATAAGCATTGAAAGTTTTAACTGTACCTAATGTTTAATATTTGTAAAATACAGCAAGAAAGCATTGCTAATGGCAAACATTTTGAGATATTTGCGTACTGATTCGCATTTTTCTATTAAAAAATACTGATCGCTAACACAAAAATGCGCTTAAGTCCCTCGATCAAGGACTTCTGTAAATTTGTTTTACTACGTGTTTCTTAACTTGCTTTCTTATCTGTTTGATTGTCGGCAATTTCAAATCTTGCGATCAATTTTTCGAACACTTCTACTGCTCAAATCGAGCTGAAAATTTCCTATTTCCCATTTTTATGAATTTTCACATATTTTAATAAGACCTTTATTTCAAATTAATCTTTTGTGTGGGTTAATTTTACAATAGAGTATTTATTTGCACTATTCTGACTGAGGTATCATCAACTAAGATTTCATATAAACCTATATAAACATATTTCTTCTGTTATAATGCGCCCTCGTTTTTTGTTGTTGATGTACGATAAGATCAAGGTGTAATTATTGGAAATTTTGTGAACGATATTGACTGGGATATAAAAATTTATCAAATATAATCTGAAAATTTAAAACCAAATTCTTTGCAACCCAGAAGAAGTTATTTTCTCCATTTTAGTGCACGCGAAAAACGTAGTTTTTAAAAAGTTTTTTTTTTAAGTATATTTTTTATTATGAGCATATAATTAAAATAATTTACAATCATATACATATAACGTTTAGAATTTAAACCCGTCTTTTTGACGGTAATAATTAAGGAATTAGAAATATTCCCTCATTTTCATAGAGTTAAAAAAGACGGACAGATGAAAATACAGACAAAGCGTCTTAAGCTCCCTTTTAAAATTAAAGTATGTATATGAGATTCGCCACATTTGTTCTCTTTTTATAATAAATGGTTTTTAACGAATGTATAGAAAAAATACGCTTATATATGAATTGAAAAGAGCAGATCAGTTTTCAAGCTCTACTTGGATCGTTGGTATTGTTGCATCGTCCATCACGAATTTTTTGCAAACGTCTTGTACCAATAACAGCTAGCAAGCTAAAGAATGAGAAGGAAGAGGAAAAATGAATATACAAACAGAAAAAAAAATCATCACACATTTCTACTCGATTGTTTTGAAAAATTGTCTTAAAGAATAGAGAAAAAAGAATATCCATATAAGACTGGCATGTGATATCAGTATGCAATAAAAATATTTGAATTTTACTCACAATCGCTTGATATTGGGATAATATAAACCAATATAAGCAATCCAATTGATGGGGAAAATTCCTGACCAGCATAATCCAGTGTTATTAGCTAGCGCTATAGCATACAAATAAGCACATCGTTCGGCTGTCATTCGTTTATCGTCACTTTGAACGGGATGATTATACTTTTGACCTGGAATCTCAACAAATGCTTCTTGTAGGAAATTTGAAAATGTAGGACCAGGACAGTAAATATTCACATTTATGTTAGGTTTCTCATTTCTCAATGCTTCATAATATCCCTAAAATATAAAATGATGTTAACATAATAAATAAATTTCAAAATACAAAATCCTTACATGCAAAGCATGTTTAGCTCCAGTATAAGAAGCAGAGTTAGGAGCTCCTATTAATCCAGCTGTTGAGCTTGTTACTGCCAATTGTCCCTTGACATTATTTTGTTCAAAATATGTGACAGCAAGACGTGATAAATGAATAACAGAAAAAACATCCAACTCAAACAACTCTCGATCGACATTGATGTCAATTTTATTCCATTCTGCCCGTTGAGATCTTCCAGCATTATTGACTAGAATATGGAGACCACGAAAATGTTGTATGACACGATTAAAGGTATCTTGATGATATGCGAATTTTAACATATCTAATGTTATTACAAGTATATCATCTGAATTTAATGCTCCTCCCGCAAGTAATAAACATTCTTGTTTAGTTGCTTCTAATTCACGAGAATTGCGTGCTGTCAAAATAAGTCTGACACCATTTTTGGAAAGTATTTTCGCGAGTTCACGTCCGATACCGGAACTTGCCCCAGTAATCCAAACGACTTTGCCCTTTAAACTGCCTGATGAATGCATTAAAATTATTTGGTTTACATTATGTTCAATATTATATTTAATTAAATAAATCAACTTACTTATGGGCTTCCCAAGAGTCGATGCAAGAAACAATTCGATATCACAATCTAAAATTGTCCATAAAAAGAATTGAACTATATAATATATGATAACAATAAGACCGATTGCTGCTAAAAATCCCATTTCTAATGACTTTTTAATAAACAAGTGAAATTAACACTTTAATAAAGTAAATAATAACGTTAATAGCTTCTACGGAATTGTTAATTTCCAGAATGTTGATTATGGACATCAACAACCTAATGATCATCAACACACGTTTATAAAAAGTGTGTATGTTTAAGTTTCATTTGTGCTGGTAAGAAATTCAAAAACATTGATTTTATGAGGAGTTAAGCATGTGATAAAAATTGACATTCGTAATCCCTGGCCATTCGTTGAACTGAAGAAATAAGTCTGTCTTTGTATTCTTGTTTTCAAAAATTACATGGTTCTCATCTGTATTTGTATTTAACTTTTACTTCAATACATTTATAAAAACAAAATAAACTAAATTGATCAGTAGTAAAAAAAACTTTCTTATAAGACGTGAGAGTAAATAAACTTAATTTTTACACGCTTTTATCTAATCAGCGAATCTTTCAAAATTTATTTAATAATTAAATTTTTTTGAAATTAAAATCAGCCTGTTGTACATGGGCGATTCTCTAAGTGAGTTGAATTTTGAGAAACAAGCTCTAGCAGAAATTTACTAGTAATTTCCTAGTAATTTACTGGATAACTTTCCATTTGCTACTTGCTATTTACTAGTCAAAATCCAATTTCAAATCATCGCCAAAGACCCGCATTTTCGATTGCTAATTGACAAGTCAATTCGCTTACAATTTAACTAGTAATTTACTAGCAAATTTGTAAAAAATTTAAATGAATATAACCGTTGATTTCCACGTGTTCTTTTGATTTTTCTTATTAGTGCAAATTATTGTAAAAGTATTAGTGTGTACTTAATTAAAGTACACTAACAGTATGAACAAAAAAATAAAATACTTAATTTAATTAAGTCGAATGCTGACGAACACCCATGACTCGCACGCAAACCTGAGGAAGATAAATAATTATTTGAAAGTCACATACAAATTTGGATCGACCTTATAAAGGTGATTTCTGCGCGCTTTTGCGAAGTATATGGCAAATGCCAAATTTAGAACAAAATTTTTTATGAAGTAAAAAATTCTTTTTTTGATGACTTTTCGTAGGATTCGAACTTAAGCAGATTTGATCAAACATTTCACATGGTAATTTGCTAGTAATTTGCTATTAAATAGCAAGTGTAATTTACTAATAGTAAGTTGTTTTAATAATTACTAGTAAATTGCAAGTAGTAGAATAGAAAGACTAGAAATTTGCTAGTTAGTCTCGCTAGGGAAGCTTTTACTTTATGGTGTAATCAATTGTCATGTTCATGTCCAATGAAATATTTTACAAAAAAATGATATTAAAAATAGCTTCTAATACATGCAATTAAATTACTTCTTATTATGCCATTAGATAAGAGACGAAATAAAATTTTTTATATTCACACCGTTTTCACGTGTGAATCTATTGGTTTTGTTCAGATTGAAAAATCAGTTTTTCGCATTTTGTGAGGAAATGTAGCAAGATAACTTAACATGTTCTAAGATAAAAAATTTGTGCCTGAAATTTCACATCTTCTGAAAAAACGGATTTCAAATTGGTTGAGGCATTGCTGAGAAATTCGCAAAATACGCTTTCTGTAAGCAAACAAGCAAGCAAGCAAGCAAGTTAATCAGCAAGAAATCTCAATAACGAGACATTGTAGAGACTTCTAGTTTTTTGCATTTGATCCGTGCTGCTCTATAGAAGAGCTGTATTGTTTTTGGGCAAGGTAAGAACAGCCGTTGCTTCAGAAAAAGCAAAAAATTTTCCTTTCTCACGAATTTTTCAAATTAAAAGTTTACATTGATTTTTTTTTTAAATTAAACTTTGGATGAAAAAAATTTTTTAGAGCAAAGAACCAAGTAGGAAATACATTTTTAATTTTAGACTAGGGGCGACCCTAGTCAAAATCAATTTTGTCACTTTTTTCTTAGAGGGTTATCCAAATGGATTGAAACTTTGCATAAATGTTCTAGTGCTTAAAACAAATACAAATAAAACATCCTAAAATTTTTTTGAGCAAAGAACCAAGTAGGAAATACATTTTCAATTTTGGACTAGGGGCGACCCTAGTCATAATAAATTTTGTCACTTTTTTCTTCGAGGGTTTATAAAAATGGATTGAAACTTTGCAAAAATATTCTAATGCTTAAAACAAATACAAATAAAACATCCTTAAATTTTTTTGAGCAAAAAACCAAGTAGGAAATACATTTTCAATTTTGGACTAGGGGCGACCCTAGTCAAAACAATTTTGTCACTTTTTTCTTCGAGGGTTTATCCAAATGCATTAAAACTTTGCATAGATATTCAAGTGCTTAAAAAAAACACAAATAAAACATTCTAAAATTTTTTTGAGCAAAAAACCAAGTAGGAAATACATTTTCAATTTTGGACTAGGGGCGACCCTAGTCAAAACAATTTTGTCACTTTTTTCTTCGAGGGTTTATCCAAATGGATTGAAACTTTGCATAAATATTCTAATGCTTAAAACAAATACAAATAAAACATTCTAAAATTTTTTTGAGCAAAGAACCAAGTAGGAAATACATTTTCAATTACGAACTTGGGACAGGTCTAGTCAAAATCTAGTATTTCACTTTTTTTCTTCGAAGGTTTATCCAATTACAGTGAAACTTTGTGTGAGTATACTAATATTTATACAAAACAGTTTTAAATATCAAAAGCAAGAAATGTATTCTACATGTCGTCAGACCCAAATTTTATAAATTTGGTTGTACATTCAAAAACAACGTGACTTAAAATTTTGTCCAAAAAAATGATTTTTAATAACTCAGAAATGTGTGACCTGAAGATTAGAATGCTCATACAAAGTTTTACTGTATTTGGATTTATCCTCGAAGAAAAAAGTGACAAAATTGATTTTGACTGGACCTGTCCCAAGTTCATAATTGAAAATGTATTTCCTACTTGGTTCTTTGCTCAAAAAAATTTTGGTAACTTACAAATCTTTCTTTATTTCAAATTTGGAATTATTGTAGTTTAAGTTACATTTCTTTGAGTCTTATTTTGACACCAGCCTGAATATGGCTTTAATTCAACTATATCTTGATTAATTATTAATTTTGATGAATGAGATTTACATATATCATGAAAATGTGGCATAAAAAGTTTAAAAAAAGTTGCCGAGCGAGAAAAAAAAAAAAAAAAAAAGCTTTCTAAAAAAAAATTTTTTGGGATGTTTTATTTGTATTTGTTTTAAGCACTAGAATATTTATGCAAAGTTTCAATCCATTTGGATAAAACCTCGAAGAAAAAAGTGACAAAATTGATTTTTACTAGGGTCGCCCCTAGTCCAAAATTGAAAATGTATTTCCTTCTTGGTTCTTTGCTCAAAAAAATTTTAGGATGTTTTATTTGTATTTGTTTTAAGCATTAGAATATTTATGCAAAGTTTCAATCCATTTTTATAAACCCTCGAAGAAAAAAAGTGAGAAAATTTATTTTGACTAGGGTCGCCCCTAGTCCAAAATTGAAAATGTATTTCCTTCTTGGTTCTTTACTCAAAAAAATTTTAGGATGTTTTATTTGTATTTGTTTTAAGCATTAGAATATTTATGCAAAGTTTCAATCCATTTGGATAAACCCTCGAAGAAAAAAGTGACAAAATTGATTATGACTAGGGTCGCTCCTAGTCCAAAATTGAAAATGTATTTCCTTCTTGGTTCTTTGCTCAAAAATTTTAGGATGTTTTATTTGTATTTGTTTTAAGCATTAGAATATTTATGCAAAGTTTCAATCCATTTTTATAAACCCTCGAAGAAAAAAGTGAGAAAATTGATTTTGACTAGGGTCGCCCCTAGTCCAAAATTGAAAATGTATTTCCTTCTTGGTTCTTGGCTCAAAAATTTTAGGATGTTTTATTTGTATTTGTTTTAAGCATTAAAATATTTATGCAAAGTTTCAATCCGTTTGGATAAACCCTCGAAGAAAAAAGTGACAAAATTGATTATGACTAGGGTCGCCCCTAGTCCAAAATTGAAAATGTATTTCCTACTTGGTTCTTTGCTCAAAAAAATTTTAGGATGTTTTATTTGTATTTTTGTAAACACTAGAATATTTATGCAAAGTTTCAACCCATTTGGATAAACCCTCGAAGAAAAAAGTGACAAAATTGATTTTATTAGGGTCGCCCCTATTCCAAAATTGAAAATGTATTTCCTACTTGGTTCTTTGCTCAAAAAAATTTTAGGATGTTTTATTTGTGTTTGTTTTAAGCACTAAAATAATTATGCAAAGTTTCAATCCATTTGGATAAACCCTCGAAGAAAAAAGTGACAAATTTGATTTTATTAGGGTCGCCCCTAGTCCAAAATTGAAAATTGATTTTCTATGGTGTACTTTGGTAAAAAAAATTACAGAAGTCCTCGTGTTATTGATCGAGGGACTTAAGCGCATTTTTGTGTTAGCGATCAGTATTTGATTATGTAATTATTTTGCGTTCATTTACAGATCATGAGAAGATTAGAAGATCATTAATTTTAGTGTAATTAACAAAAAGTTACAATGAATGCTTATATAGAAAGGATTATTATTTAACGGTCAATAAATAATTTGAAATTTTGCCGTTAAAAGTTGCACTACGAAAATATTAATTATAGTATAATTAAACAATTTGTTGCAATAAATTTCCATACAGAAAGGGTTTATCATTTAACGGTTTTTTTGTAATTCAAATTTTCTAAAGGTCAATAAATAATTTGAAATTTTCCCGCTATAAGTTGCACTACGAAAAAATTAATTATAGTATAATTAAATAATTTGTTGCAATGAATTTCCATACAGAAAGGATTTATCATTTAACGGTTTTTTTTAATTCAAATTTTCTAACGGTCAGTAAATAATTTGAAATTTTCCCGCTATAAGTTGCACTACGAAAAAATTAATTATAGTATAATTAAATAATTTGTTGCAATGAATTTCCATACAGAAAGGATTTATCATTTAACGATTTTTTGTAATTCAAATTTTCTAACGGTCAGTAAATAATTTGAAATTTTCCCGCTATAAGTTGCACTACGAAAAAATTAATTATAGTATAATTAAATAATTTGTTGCAATGAATTTCCATACAGAAAGGATTT